AGCAGACCAAGCTGCTAATGAAGCCAAAGAGATCAAAGGAGACAGACGACCAACAACATACAAAGGAGTCTTTCCAATGATCAAGAGGGAAAGCAGAAACCCACCATGTAGAACTAAGTACCAGCACCTGGAAGATGTGTATTCTGGGTACTCCTATAAGCGGGAACAAAAATCTATCACAAGTCGCTGGGACCAGTTTGAGCTAGCGAGACTGCGGTCGGACCATCATTGGAGTTTAAGATGGTGTAAGAACTTTGTAAATGAAGAGCTCAGCCCATGTTGCCGAAGATGCGGCTATGAAAAGGAGGACATCAAACATATGTTTGAATGTCCAGAAACAATGGCAATTCGAGTGGAGTTATTTGGACGAGTGGAGGTGCCGCTAAGCATATTGACAATGGAGCCGAAAAAGAGCCTCCCTCTCGCTCGAAGATTTTTTCGTGAAGTCCGTCAGGCCCATTAAGGAAACAAACAAAAAATCATCATCATCACCATCATCATCATCATCATCATCATCATCATCATCATCATCATCATCATCATCATCATTGTGTACAGCAGATAGTAAAACGGTTAAGACCTGGTAGTATTTCCAAAATATTCAATCACATGTTTATCATCATCATCATCATCATTACTTTTTCCTTTGGGATTTTTTACTCACAGAACCTACTGAAACAACTCACAAACAATCGAACAGTATAAGCACAAAACCACAACGACAACAACAATAACAACACTAACAACAGCAACAACAAACATAGATAGATATCGCAACCACCACCATCATCACCACCACAATAACCACCACCACAATAGCCACCGCCACAACAGCAACAACCACAACAACCAAGATCACCACAATAATTACCACCACAACCACAATAACAACCACCACCACAAGAAAAAAAATTATCACCACCACAGCCACAACCATCACCACATTAACCACCACCATCAGAACAGCCACCATCACCACAACAACCACCATAACAACAACCTCCACAACAACCACCATAACAACAACCTCCACAACAACAATAACCACGACCACCACAACAACAACCACCACCATAATAACCACCACCACAATTTTTTTTAAATTATCACCACCCAAACAACCACCATCACCAGAACAACAACAACCACC